CCCACGCCCATCCCCGCTGGCGGGGGTCCAGGGGCTGCTGCATACGGGCGGGCCGGTCCGGTCCGGTCCGGTGCGGGCCCAACTTGGCTGGTTGCATCGACCTGAGCGGAGCCCTGCCCTGGGGAAGCGAGGGTTGGCCGCGCCCGGGGCTGGAGGAAGAGCCCCAGGCTTTGCGGCCTTGGAAGTTCAGGTTAGGTTGGGAAGAGCCTGGAGGCCTTGAGCGGACTGTGTCCCTCACACCTTCACCCTTATCCCCAACACGCACGGGTCATCGGTGTCTAGGAGGGAGGGAAAGCGAAAGGTGGTTTTGAAGGAAACTTGCAGTGAAAGAGCCACAGTTCTTTGCATCCCAGAGGAACCCGATCTTAGATAAACCTTAAAGAAATACTGGGAATTTCTGTTTACAGTCCACTGTAAGTAGGTTACTGTTCATAGTTGGAAGGGGTAGGAGAAATGGAGGGGCCTTTTTGGAGTAGAAGTGTGTGTGAAAATATAGAGAAGGAAGGAAATTAAAGGAACATTGTTTATTGTAAGAAGCGTTTGTATCGCAAAGAATAACTTTCAGGTGACTTGATTTAACCCCATTCTTTCCAGTTGAAAGTTATTTTCTTCTCCAATTGAAAGTTATTTTCTAAGGGAAAAAAATTTTATGTCTGTCGACCCATATGTTAGTGTAACTCAAAATATTATATCTTCGTATAGAAGTTACTCATAAATCTAGTGAGAAATAAGTATAATCTCACACACAAATGATGTATGGAAATGGATTTGAATCATGAAGCTTGTCAGGCCTTTATGGATTATATGTTGAGGCTTAAGAATTTTTTTTATCAAATATCCTCCATCTGGAGGAAAAAGATAGGACATTATAATTGGAATGAATGTTCTCTCCAAAGTTATCTACACTTGTGATTTAATTAAGGTGATTTCTTTACTTTAGTAAGTTGGCAGACAGGTAAAATGGGCTAGCTGATTCCCTAAGGCAGTGGAGGAATTTGATTTTAACAGTAAAAGTAGCAGCATTGTGCTCTGATCAGCTGCTACTGCAAGAAACTAGATCATGATACACGCTTGGGGAGGCCCAATTTTTTCTTTGCCTGAATGTGTACTGAATATATCACTTGCCACTCTCCAAAAGCAAATAATAAAATACTTCTGCTACATATCTTTGGTATGCTATGTGGATTTCCTTCTATAGGTTGAATTTTTGTTTTTAATCCTCCTCCTCATTACTCTACACAAATGTAGTCTTGGAATAGTTCCAACTCTGGTGATTTAGTTTTCATTCTAGATGTTGTATTTAGATTAGTGGGGGATTTTTGTAGACCACAAACGTTAGTCATTGAAGAACATTTTTATCAAGTAGGAATGGCCATCATTTTTCAGCATGAACATAAAATATAGTGATTGCTTTTACTTTTGGTAAGTTAATTCTTAGAAAGTGAATTGGAGAAAATGTAATCAGTATGCAGAGATTCTTGAATGTTGCTGTATGAACAACTAAGAATATGCTGCTGAGACAGCTATTCTCATGACTGATTTAGTCAGAGCATTGAGACAGGCTATCTTTCTTATAAACCTGATTCAACCTACGGTAACAGTTTGAAATCTTCTTATATAATGGGATCTGTTCTCCTAAGTTGGACAAGATATCAGCAATATTTGTTTGGACTTACTAACATTCTTGCATTTGATGAAGGTATGAGCTTTCTAAGAAATGAAGATTTTGTCTGTTCAGTCTAACCAATTTAAGTATCCCTTCAAAGAATGTGAGTGAGTCACCATCCCTTAGTTAGGAAAACTAAATATGTAGGTATGGTAAAAAGAGCCCTAGGCTGGCTCAGGATGTGTAGAGTCCATTCCTAGCATGATCTCCAGCTAGCTATATGGTCTTAGGGGGGGCCACTTTACCTCTCTGGATCCATTCCCTCATCTGACTATATATATATCTCCAAGACACCTTATGCTCTGTCAGTCTGTGATCTAGTAGGAAAAATGAGACAAGTGCAAGAATAGGGCAGAAACAAGTTTTATTTGACCGTGCAAAGTGCATTTGGAATTCAGAGGAGGATAACACTGGCAGTTCAGTGAAAGCTTCACGATGAAGCATTTGAATGGCACCTTAAAGGTTGGATATAATTTCTACAAGGAGAAATATGGCAGGGGTTCTCCCAAGAAGAGTAACAGGAAAAGTAAGAACATGAAAGTAGAGAAGCACAAGGTATGTTGGCTGAGAGCAAGTATATACAGTGTATGTTACATGGGGGAGAATCTAGGTAAGATAGTGGAAAGAGTGAGAGGATAATAACATATTTATTGAGCCAGGCACTTATTCTAAACATTTGACATGTATTAAACCTATTTAATGCTTAAAATAACCATATTAAATAGGACCATTATTGCCCACATCTGAAGATGAAGAAACTGAAGTACAGCTTGCTGAGATCACAAAGCTAGTTACTGGTAGAACTGGGATTTGTTCCCTGCTGTTTGACTCCAGATCTCTGCCTTTAATTGCTAAGTTAAAGTAGGGTAGGTAGGGAGGTAACATGATCAAAACTATGTATTAGTTGTCTGGCACGATGTAACATGGATTAAAAAGGTAAGCTTTTTAGCATTGAAGACTTCTTTCTAAAATTCTCTTTATTTATTGAGTTTTCACATATATCAACAAAGATTACTAAAATTTGTTAATGCCAGTGTCAACCAGATCTTGTTGGAGAGATTGTAAATTAGTCCACCTTTCTGGAAGGCAACCTTACAGTAAGTATCAAATTTTAAATATGTGTTCTCTCTGACCCAGCAGTTCCACTGCTGGGAATTTATCTTAAGGGAAATGCTCAACATTGTGTGCACAAGAATTTTTATCATCACATTTTTTATTAACTAATTTTGATATGTACAAGGAATATGTATATACATGTAAGCTGTGAAGTGTAACAAAATGAACTCACCACTGATCCTCAGAACTAGAATGTTAAACCAATACAATTGAAGTTATCAGTGTTTGAATGTTATTTATAAGAGAAAAAAATTGGAACCTAAAGGCCCAACCGTAGGGGATAGATAAGTTATGACACATCCACATGATGTAATTCAATATACAGTTACTTTAAAAGATGAGGTTGAACTGTCTTATTTCCTCAGTTCCAAGATACTGTTAAGTCTATAACAAGCAATCTATTTAGTAACGATTTTTCAGGGAAAGAAAATAAATTTATAGGGGGAAAGGTATATCTCAGTGGTAGAGTGCATGCTTAGCACGCACAAGGTCCTGGGTTCAATCCCCAGTACCTTAAAAGGTATATAAGTAAACTTAACTACCTCCCCCTGCCAAAAAAACCAGACACACAAACGCGCAGAGAAGGAGAAGAATGGGAAAGAGCAATTGCTAATAAAATAATTTAAAAATCTCCATAGGCAGATCTTGTGAAAGCAACCAGCCTTGGAGGAAGGGGAGATTCCTTGATTGGGCTTTGATTCAGTTATCTGGGGTGGGGAACTCCTCCCTCCATTGTTCTCTGTAACTGTTGGCCATTGTTCTCCAAGAACCTTCTGGGAATTCTTCTTCCATTATCATCCTTGGCCACATGAAATGTGAACTTTTGGGGAATATTCCCTCTTTGGAAGGTGCAAATCTTTCTTGACTAAATTACAGCTCATAGAAATTGAGAGCCCAAGAGCTTTAGATTTTGAATAGTTAAAGGCTTTTTTTAGTTTGAACTTGAGTAGTTTTTTTAAAAAAGTTTTTAGCAAAACAGTTTCCTCAAAGTTAGTTAAGTCTCTGGTATGTTTAGGTCCAGTCAGTTGTGTTTCAGTAACTATAACCAA